GAGCCCCACCCCAACCCTCATTTGCATACAACCTTGTCTCCAATCTCTTCATTCCCAAGAACCAAGCAACCCTCTGATTAGGAAGCAAGTCAGAAGGCTCCCCTTGCGGCAGCTGGAAGAGGCACTTTCAGAGTATAAATAGAATCAAGGGCTTTGCTGGTAGAATAACTATTCCTCTCAAGTGGCTCCTTCATATTTGTTATTAATTGTGGTCTGGGGCAAACAGTTTGGAGGGAAATCCCGGCTTTGATGTTTACTTTGTAAGCAGCAGGCTTCTGGGTATGCACAGTCCTGGGAGCCAGCGCAGCCTTGGGGTAGAACCCTGGAGTTGGACTCTTTGGTTAAACCAAGCTTGATTCTGGTCATTGTGGATTAATAGCCAAGTAGAAATGATGACACTAATGCTGCTGCCGCTGCCGCCGCCGCCAAGAACTCTAGTTTATTGGGCATTTACTATATGCCAGCCACTGTGCTTAGTGTCTGGGTGGGGCAGATTTCATAATCATACATCCCCATTTTACTGATGAGAAACAAGGGCTTGGAGATTGCATAGCCTTCCCAGGTTCTGTAGATCTGCCTTCTCAGAGGCCACATTGCTTTCTCCTGAATCATTTTCCTACAGACAACCAACCATGATCATCAGCACCGTCATGACCCTTCAGAGCACCCTTGCGAAGTACCTTTGTCTCCAAATCTCTTTGGAACCCAAGAATTACAATCGTTTTTAGATTCACTATAATACTGAGAAACACATTTTGAGTAGCACCCTAATGTGGCAATGCTAGTTAGTGGGGGAGCTCTCCATGGCTCCCCATCCTCAGCCCTCACACACCTGCATTGCAAAAATATGCTTCATATTCTTCCCCTTTGAGCCTGGCTTTTTAACATTCTTCTGAAGTCACTTCTCCCGCTGCCTCTAATCACCCTGATTTTTCCACTTATTTTTTGTTTGTGCTATGGGAATCTGATTACATTGTTAAATTTGTAGGTTTTTGTGGTGGTTTTTTTTTGTTTGTTTTAGGAGCTGAGCAGTGTTCGGATATCAGTTTTTCAGAGTCTCATGTAAAAATTCACATAGGTCTGACCACATGTCATTATATGTCCTGCAGCTGAAAGTCAATTGACATGCTTCTTCTAGGAGCAGATTTTCCTCTTAATGAAATGGGGGCAGGTGGATTGAGCATAATGACAATGAAGGGGCCCTGGGATCTCAGCCTCACTCCATTCTCAGCTCACCCACTTCCTGACAGAGTACTCTCTGAGCCTCCACTTCCTCACCCATAGAATAGGAAGGTAACAGCTCCCTTCTCATAGTGGCTTTGCTGGAAGTAAATAAAATCACGCACAGACATTGCTTAACCCAGAGTAGCCACTCAACAAATGACGGTCTTTCAAAACCCTTCAGCCTGCTGTCTCTCCCTCTCATCCCATCTCCATCTCTCCCTCTGTGTGTCTTTCTTCTTGAGAAATTTTTGTCCTTCTCTCCCACCCCTTCTCCCAAATCGCTGTATTCCAGAACTGAGTTTTTAGTTTGGCATTCTCTTCGCAGCTCTGCCAGACCGACTGACCCAAGGATGACTTTATGTTTCAGCCAAGGAAGCTCTTTGACTGGAGTGATTGTCTTTGATTTCCCAGCGCTCCCTCCCCTTCTCCAGAAGAAAAGCATCCATGTCTATCTGTCTGTCTGTGAACTTGCCCTGCTTTCTAAAACCCTGAAGAGAAGTTACAAAATGCTTTTCTCGATGTCAGTGTCCAGGTCCCTTTACGCATCAGTGTAGAGTCCTGACACCAACCCTCTCTATTCCCTGACTGCTTTAGCAGACGGAGGGTGGAAATAGCAGGGCCAACTGCAGACTTCCGTCTCTGTTCCTGTGTCACCCACGAGTATGCCGAACCCTCTGAGCCTCAGAGGATGGGAATGCTTTCTTTCCCAGGCCTGAGCAATGTGGACACAGAGCCCCCTAGCAAGTGCTGATATGTATCAGGCCCTCAGGAAGCATCAGCTCCTCTGGGCCACAGCTGCCACTCTTCTTCAGAATGCATTCATTCATTCTGCCACGATGGCAAGAGACAAGGATGACTGGAGAGCGATGGAAGGGTTAGTCTCAAGGACTCCATAAGCCTTCCATGGTTGGATGGTATTCGGGATGATGGGCTATTGGATGCTTTGCTGGATGGGGAGTTGCATGGTTTGCTGTGGGTTTGGATTGGTGGGGTGGTTGGATTAGGATGGATGGAAGAATGGATGAAAAAAAAAAGTAGCTTTTTCGATAACCTAGCGTCAGCCTTCTATCATATATAGAAATCCCTCCTCCACATTATCTGTGAAGTCCTTAAATCCATGCCTACTTACCTGCTTGAACTAAGTTGCAAAGTATTTCATTAACAATAAGCATCATTGTTGAAACTCTTCTTTCCAAACTCTAGGTATGGTAATATAGTATGAATCTGTAGGTAAGGGCATGGCCTTTAGAATCAGGCCTGGATTTGAATCTCAGCTTAACTAATTAAAACAAGGTGACCTTGAACAAATCCCTTGGCCTTTCGAAGCTGTGTTTTCCTCATTTGGAAATGGGGCTAAAAGCACTATTTGCAGGATTATTTTGAGGATTACATGAGATAATGGATGCGAAGGTCTGGTCAATGCCCAGTAAAAGGTATTGTTATTGTACTGAACCACACTAGCAGAACCAGATGTGTAGCAGATATCATTCTAGTGCTGTGAATTCATTGGCAAACAAGACGGAAATAGTTCATATCTTGGACCGTATGTTCCAATGGAGTGTTCAGGCAATAAACAAGTAAACAGATGCATAATTTCAGATGGCGTTAAAGGCTGTGTGGAAAATTAAAATAGGGCAAGGTGAGAGGTGTGGCAGGTAAAGGGCACGCGTCCTTTTATTTGGTGGTAGAGAGGAATGTAAACCAAAGACAGGATGATGGAGCCATGCAAAGATCTGGGTTCAGAATGTCCCCAAGGAGCAGGAAAAAAATGGTTCTGGGACAGAAATGAGTTTGTTCAAAGAAAAGGAAGGCTGGGTGGCGATGTGGAAAGTGACACCATCAGGGCAGGGAGGTCTGAGGAGCCAGCGCTCAGGCCGTGAAGGCTGTGTGGTGGGTTGTGGTTAGTATCCGTGTCAGTATCATCCTGGTCTCTGAAATGACATAGGCAGAGCCTTGCTCACTGCGCAGCCGGCAGTGGGCTTTCTGATCTCCTGGAGCTCCAGGCTACACGGTCTCGCCCCCCCCCCCAGATATTCTGGGACATCTGACCATGTTCTGGGTCCCAAAACATAGATCCCACAAGAAATCAGGTTAGACACAAAGGAAAGTGAGGTTTCTAGTGGGAATTGTAACAAACTAAGCCAGGAAGCTGTGTTTCTCTCTGAAGTGTTATCTCTGGAGTATTTGGCAGGGAAAGAAGGAAAGGTATCTTAGAGGCTAATTTCAGAATAAAAGATGTCTGGGGAACCAGCAGTTAGCGTAATGGCTATGTCGCTGGATTCCCACGTAGTCGACCGCGGTTCGTGTCCCGAACCCGGTGGCTTAAAACTCACGCCGGGCGCGTGTGCGTGTGTGCCCGAGATCCCGAGAGGAGAATGGAGGAGAAGGGATTGCGGCGTGACCATCCCCCCTGGGGGGTGATTTCTCGCTTTTTGTCTCTATGTCTCTGTCTGTCTGGCGAGCGCACGCGCCCTACAGTGAAAATCTCTCCAAAAAAAAAAAAAAGGATAAAAGATGTCTGGCACCATTTATCCGGGTGAATTTGGTGTGGGATCTGGCTTTAGAAGAAAAGTGGTATGTGGAAGTGACCAGTCTCCAGCGTGGCTGTTCAGGGGCTCAGATCAGTTCATCAGGGTGAGGGTCCTCACCTCTGTGGGGTGATGCTTCCTCTGTTTTGGTTTTCTTCTCAGGCCACTTCTCTCTATGTGGAAACAAAAAGGGTCTGAACCTCC